TGTAAAAACACTGCTTTTTCGAGCATTTTTTATACTTTGAACACGAATTGCAGCCAAACGGCTAAAACCACCGTAATCTATCTATACTTGTTCGAATCCCCAAACATTCAGCTTTCATATGCATCTTTTGGATTCATTCTATCTATTATAGTTTTCGAGAAAATCAATGAAATGTAACTTCTCTTTTCATTTATTATGCTTGTATTTATTTTTTCCGCTCGCAAAGCCGACTAGTTAGAGCGCACTAAATCAGCGCTCTCCGCTGCAAGTTAATTTATCGTTGCATAAATAAAGTGCGGATTAAACATTTCACTCGGCTTTGTCACAACATTCGCGAAAACCTATTACAAAGAGCGACAGACACCACCACTCTATGTTTACAGAGAGAATGTCGGATTTCACTTCTGCAACAACAAATAAACATGTTTATTTCAACTATAATTTTATAAAATATTCGTTATTTATAACTCAATTCTTAATCTCCTTAAATAACTACCTTTTTTAGTTACAGAAAACAACAATTATGTATTATGATTTCAATTTGCCTTCATGTAAATCGATCAAAAAGTATTAAGATTTTCATATTGACGTGTTGACACGTTTCAATCGAATTCTCGGAGCGCAATAAATCACATTGGAGATTTGCATCGGACGAAATGATTTATTCCAATTGAAATACATAGAAAAGTTTGTGCAGGCGATATAATTAAATCTTTCATTGTTCTTTCATTGTTGCCTTGCCTTTCCTGATATGCAAATTGTTGCGTTACGCAATAAATCGGAAGCAGAAAACGAGATTATTTCGCATGCTCTAGAAAAATTAACATTTTTTACTTTAAATATAAACTTTATTTGAATGCATCAATCTGCATTTTATTTTTAACATCTCTTTCTTTCTTTTTTTTGTTCTCTTCGTTCAACAACGTTTAACGATAACTTAATTTTCTTAAATTTACGATAAATCAACAATTAATAATATACATTATAATCGTTTTTATGATTTTATCGGTCAACAAAACATTTTAGTGATGATCCACCAATGATCTGACGGCTAATGGGCCGACCCGATCGTTAGAACCAATAGAATTGTTTAGAACGAAAAGAACCGGGGGTTGCCGATCCCTCCTTTAGCGTTTGGCGATGTGATTTGCAGCTGCAACTGTTGATTTTTATCGCTACGCAACGATACGCAGACACGTTTTTGTAAACGGACGTTTTTCTTTCAAAAATTGCTTAAATTTTTGTTACTCTCTTACTTTTCTCGTGTCCCAATAAGATGTTCGAACACAACGCGTTTTCGCACCATATAAAGCAATTATTCGACAATCATTTAAATTCTTAACAAATACGTAAATATTAATAACATATTAATTTGCATTACTTTTTATAAATATTAAAAACATAGAAAAATTTACTTTTTCTTCTTATTAGAGAGTATTTACTAGAATTGACGTTACTCCATATACACGTCAGGTACTTGTTAATTACTTGTCAAGTTACTTGCCAAATATTGCGTAATTTGTTCAAAAGATGTTCAAACTATTCCAAATTAATAAAAAAAAAATCAAAAATAGTCGTAGAATAAAATGTGAAAATTTTAACATGAGAAACTTGCTAAATTTGTTTCGAAAATATTATTAGTAATTTGATCTAAATTTTACTTGTATATTTAAGATGTTAATATTTATTTATTAAGTTAAGATCACTTTTCTATGAAATCTTGTTTACTTTTCACACACGCACATTTTTTTTCCCGCTCATATTTAGAAAGCAAATTGTATGTGTAGAATATTCCTTTTTCTTTGTGTTTGTCGTTTTGAAGTGCGAAAGAGCAGTAAGTTTCGAAAGTTGTTTAAAGCGCGTTATCTATATTTGCCCAATAACGGTCGTATCTTTATAGACACGTGTTTGTGTGTGTCTGTTTATGTACGTTCGAGGGGAGAGACAATAATTTTGCAATCGCCATAACGAAACTGCGACAAAAGCCAATAACGTACACACACACACTTAATAACTACCACGCCTAAAGTTCATGTAAATCCTTAAAATTAACTACGTCGTATTTCTTATCGACTTATGTAATATTCGCAAATGCAAGAGAAAGATAAAGAAAACGATAAAAAACATTTTAACAATTTCGAAAATCTAATCATCATAACAAAATTATGAATTCCGAAAGAAATTCTTCATTAAGAAGATAAAAAAGTGATATTCTCGATACAAAATATAGAGAGAAATGATGGATAATCGAAGAAACGAAAACGTTCTTATTCGAAAGTTATAATTCCAATTGAAATTCCTAATTCATTACGAAGACAATGAGAGAGGTTGGGGAATGAGAATGAGAAAAGTGTTGGATGGAAGATTGAAAACTCGAATTTTCTTATCGATTTACGTAATATTCGCATGTGCAAGAGAAAGATAAAGAAAACTAGATAACAAAATTCAATTTGGAAACATTTTAACAATTTGAAAATTTAATCATTATAACAAAATAATGAATTCCGATAGAAATTCTTCATTAAGAAGATAAAAAAGTAATATTCTCGATACAAAATATAGAGAGAAATGATGGATAATCGAAGAAACGCGAAAAATTCGTAAAGATTTTAACGAATTGAAAATGTAATCATCTCTCTCGAAAACGTTCTTATTCGAAAGTTATAATTCCAATTGAAATTCCTAATTCATTACGAAGACAATGAGAGAGGTTGGGGAGAAAAGTGTTGGATGGAAAACTCGAATTTTCCGCATTAAATTCCGGTGGGACGAAGTTGTCGCCCTTCCACCGCTTTTCAATAGAAATATATATATAAATTGGCCGGAAACTTGGCGCAAGGAAAATCCGTTTTCCTCTCGCCATTTCCATATTCCGATTTACGTAAATATAGTTGGTGGAGAACAAAATTTCCCATTCATAATCATAATTGTCGTTTTTGTTTGAACGTCGAAAACACACAAAAATTATTTAATTATAAAAATTACCACATTTTCATTAGTAATAGATGGGGAAACAAACTTAAAAATAGCTTTATTAATGATTAATAATAGAAATAATTATAATTGTTTATTCATATTTTTTAATTAATCCTTTATAAAAGAGAAAATGTTTGTTTTTTGCGGTTCATGATATAAAATTGACCGCAAATTTGATGCAGGAAAATTCGTTTTAACGCTCGGTATTTCCATTATTTTTTTTTAAATTTACGTTAATAAAATGGAATAAACCGAATACACTTTTACGTAATTGTATAATTTAGGGAGTTTTTGTAAACATAAAACCCGTAATTTATATAAATAATTACTATAAACTTTTACTTGTTCATTTTCTTGAGAGCACGACTGAAATTGAAGATATAGCGAATATTTTTCTTATAGTTCTTATGCTTATATGCATCTTGTAAATGGATGGATTTTGAAATTATAATAGGATGATTCTGCAATTGAATAACTGTAATGTGTGGAAGTTGATCATTGCTGACTCTATAGTTCAACAGAGGTGATTGAATTTTGTAAAAGAAAAACAGAGTTGTGAAGTGTTTTGGTTTGTGGATGAGGAAGAATGTTGGTAGCAGAGGAGAAATCCGCGGTGCGAGCCTCTTCGGCACCCCCGGAATCTAACCACCATCGTCGATCCGGCAGTTTTTCCATGAGGCAGGTTTACGATAAAATGCAGAAGTATTTGAAGCAAGGTAAACCTCCTCCAAAGAGGAAAGAAAATGATAGAAATCGAACTTGTTCAAGTCTCATGCGAATTGCAAAAGAGTTGAAGAGAGAGTGAGAGAGACTTAATTGGAATTCGCAATAATTAATACATTATTTATAAACTTTGCTTGTTTTGTTCGCGTTTTCAACTCTTCAATGAATGTATAATAAATAAAATATTTATTCACATGCGACGGTCGAGACCAAAAGAGATCTCGGTTTGCTTATTTTGGTTGTGCGCGACATGTGCTGCTGCTGCTGCTGCTGTGTAGCATGACGTAAGAAGGAGAGACGTCAGGACCATGAAGAAAAAAAAACAAACTTTAAGGTCGATAGCCTTGCGGATATTTGATGTCAAAGTATCGACGAAATTCGCCGAAACAATATTTGCAGATTATCTCCGTTGTTGTCAAGTCGTTGTCACTGTTATGAAAACCGATGGCAATTATTTCGCTAATTGCGACAGGTTCAACGCGAGCGAGAATTTATGCAGATTTTAGCACCGCTCTAAACGGAGGGCGGTAAAACCTTGTATTATTGCGACTTCGGCTTCGAGCCAAAACGTTTTAATTTTTAATTTTTAATTGGTGCATCTGCGCTAATTGCACCGTCAATTGTTCCACATTCGTTAATTCGTATTATTAATTTTTGTTTTTCTTTTGTTGTTTTCCATTTTTGTAGATGCGACGGGAAGCGACGGACCTGCAGGAAACAACACCTCGTCTCCAGTCAACAAACGCAGGGGATTCAGCGGGTAAGTTAATTGTGATTACTTTCCTTTCCTCTTTATGTACATACATCCTTACTATTCCTCTTCCTTCCTTCCGTCCACCCACTTACATTGGACGTCGTTTATTTTGATTAGAAACCAGACGGAAAGGGCGCATAAACTTGCCCGTGGCTCGAAATAAAGACCGATTGCGTCGATGCACTAATTTAATTGAACTGCAAAATTTCTCATCTACTTAAGATCTTCAAAATACGCAATCAATCAATATCTTAATTCAATACTTTATCATCTCCGATAATAATTACATTTTTGTATTCAAAAGAAAGAATCAATATGTTGCAAATATTATCAACTTTTAAGAATTGAATAAAACTATTGTGAAAGAACTGACATATTTATTGAAATGAAAAGAAATTTAATTTTCTAATTGGAATTAATATTTTTCAATAGAATGCAGAAACTATCAATGAAAGAAATGCATTATTTAAAGTAAATTTGTGTTGTTTGTGGGTTTTCTTTATACACTTTCGATTTGCATATTCTCATTCTCTAAAGAAGAAAATGAAGTAAAGTAACCGTTTGTTGGATGGGATTGAATTCGCGAGAAAGTGGAATTGGATTTCCTCTTTTGCTCGGTTAACCATCATCATCATCATTATCAAAACGAGTAAAAGCTTAAAGAACTTTTGAGATGGAAATAGAGAAATGGAAAACAGCGTTTTTTTCTTCTTCCTAAGTGATTTACAAACTAATTTGTCGCGTCTCGTAAATGCGGTGGCTCATATTTTCTGCTTTCTGCTTTCCTTCTTGCCTTTTTTTTCTCACTCACTAATCTATTATTTATGCCGTCTCTCGAGTACTTCATAATATTTGTTAATATCGCTAAAAGGTCATCGGCTGTTGCGTGACGCCCGCTCACACCCTCTTTTACATACCGCGACACACGCCACTACCGCCTCTCTCTGTCTCTATCTATCACTCAGTTCTCAGCTAAATTGCATTAAATAATTGTACACACATGGTCCACAATCATCAACAGTACAAAAAAAAACGATATTATAAACAGTAAATCTTTCAATTATTAATAATTCATACAATCTGTACTCTTATTGGTTTATTGCAATAATCTAAATAATACGTAGATAAAGAGTAGATTGATTAATAAATTGAAACGTGAAATGATTGTATTAATAATTAATCAAATCTGTGGATAAGGGAAATAGAGTAGAGTACGGCTCTGTTAAATTACGCTTTCAGCGGATTTTGCTGAAGGAAAGAAAGCAAAAGCAAAACAAAATAATGATGATGATGATGTAGGGATAGAAGGATGGAAGGAGCGTTCATTGTGTAGTAGTGCGCAAAAGAGGAGCTCGCCTCAGTCGCGTATTATCCTTAATTAATGTGACATCGTCCGTTAATAGTTACGCAACGCCACCTCTCGTCCACGATCAATTATTACAATAATTACGTTACACAATAGTTTGAGTGTTTGCGATGTAAAAATGCTTCTGCATCGGATGTATCCATTGAAAATGTGAAAAAAAGAGACAAAACAAGACAAGAAAAGCGCAGGTATTTGCCTAGTCATATTTCGTAATTTGATGTGTCGATCATTATGTATTATCGATAGTTAATTAGTTTAATTAAAGCTTGTAAAGGTCTACAGTTATCAAGTTTCATTGGTTTTTATAAAATATCGAATATAAAGTACTACTCCAAGTAGTACTCCATTTCATATATATTTAATATAAAAATATTCAAAGCAGGATTGAAATGAAAGAGTTTTTAATTACGGTTATTTAGTGTGTAGCAGTAATGGCTGATTTCTGATTGTAATTAATGACATAAATCTGCTATAGTAGTGAGAAGCTTATGAAATGCGCGTAAATATGTTAGAAGAAGAAAAAAATAAGTTCATTAATGGATTATTTAAATGAATCAATGAAGTTTACTTGTAATTTACTTAATATTAGAACTGAATCAAATCTAATCTAATTGATAAAAGAAAATGTAGCTTATGAAAGTTTATCACTATTAGAAAATTCAATATAAATATTGTAGTAATAATTAAGCAAATGAACAAAAAATTGTATAATATTGGCGATTTTCGAACCGATTGTATTCAGTATTCCCCGTTGATTACTCATCTGAGCTCATTTAAGTGTTTGTTTGGAAGGAGGAACAACCTTAAAGTTGCCATTTCCATTACGAAATACCAGTCGTATCTTATCTAGCTTTCAGTACATTCGTTTGGCGACAAACGATAAGCAGTAACGAACCTTTAATATGCACAAATCTCCAAATGAGTTTGAACCAACTTCGAGGATGAAGCGTTCGATGAAGCGTTTCATCCGTATCCACTGCTGCTGCGAGTGCATACAGTAAAAAAAATCATATCTCCTCGTCTGTTTCCTTCCTTTCTTTCTTTTTTATTTGTTTGTTTGGCTTTGGTTTGTTTGGGTTTTCCACGGAGCAACAACCAGTGTCGATGCATGCATGTTGTTGTATGTTGTTGCATGTTGTTGCTGTTTCCGTCCTGGTCAAAGCAATTACTCGCGCTCGTTCGGAATTTCGTTTATTACATGAAAGCTCTTTGTTTTTCCAGCCGGAAATGGCTGCCACCGCCGCTGCGGAAGTTGTCACAGGGAAAAGTGGAGAAGACACAACAGTCGACGCCGGATCGGCCGCCGCTCAAGAAGACCGGATCAGATAAACGAATCAAGGTAATGTTTATATAAACGACTTTATTTTATTCGTTCCCATCCGAAACGAAACCGCAATCTGCTTATCATCCGTGCGCAGATTGTGTAACACTTTCTCATCGTCTCATCTAATCTACTACCACTGCGATCAACGTGTTTTTGATTTATTTTTTGATTTCATGTTTGATGACATATCGAAATATTGAACAGAAGCCTACTACCTACTACTGAATTTCATTCAATTTTCTTTGATAAATTACTATATAATACGAATTTACTAATTAATAATAAAAAAAGTAAATCTTTCACCAAATTTATAATTAATCTTTAAATCCATAGAGATTAAATCGCCTTTCAGAATGCTGTATTTTTGTTATTTGAAATTGGATTTTATTGAACGTCAAGCAAAAAAATGTTGGAAAACAATTCAATTTTTCGAATTCATTTCAAATTTTCGATATGCGAACCTGCGGAATCTTCCTCCATTCCAACGATTCAAAAGTTATAGCAGTTTTAAGTTCAATTGGGCCACTCTGTATGAAATATGGAAATAATTAACGCTATAAAATTGAACACTTTAAAAGTGTGTAAAATATATAATTAAATATCATTTAAATTTAATAAAATAATATTATATTATTTTATGGGTAAAAGTAAATAATTATTTCTTTACATTCTCTCAATTCATGAAACGTTTTCCATGGATTTCGGTTAGAATTGTTAAAATAATTTGTATATAAATTGAATTAGATTCTATTCAAAATACACTCGACAACTAATGTCTTTCGTAAGTGGTAATTTAGATTGCAGAAGAATTTTAAAGAAAAACCCATTAGAAATTCCTAACTAATCTCTTCCTCAAGTCAAAAATTCTTTCACATACGAGATTACATTAGTTTTCTAATTTTTCATGGAAGAAATCATTAATTATTGAAATAGTTGTTTCATAATTTTTAAGTACGTAAAAATTTCTTCAATTAACAACATTTTATTGCAAAATTTTTATTGTACAAATTGTGTTGTGTTGAATGAAATTATAATTAACACGACGTATGAATAATTACAATTTTCTTAGTTTATATTTTAATAACAAATTATGTGATGTGATGAACACTGAAAAATCCATGTAAATTTCCAATTTGTAGCTGTAAGTAATTGATTTGTATACATTCAACATTAGTTGCGGTCTAATTACTCGCACAAAATAAACACTGTCTAGTGTAATTCACCAACTACAATTTCCAATGACGTTACACAACGAAAGTAAATAAAGTCTTTTGCAAAGTCGATTAAAATAAAATATTTACATATGTTTCTTTTTTTAATTAATAATTTGGATTTATTAGTTTTATATGTAATTTCTTTATTGGTTTTCGTAAAAGCCGGAAGATCAACGACAATAATCAAAGTTTATTCGATTCTCGTTTATATCCGAAGCGTAAAATTTGTTGCAGTAAAACACGGGTATTTCTTCCACTCTTTTCGTTCTTTTTTTTTCGCGTTCGTCGCATTTTATTTGCTTTCCACGCATCCTGGATCAGTTTTAACCGTTTGCAAACACACATAGAGAGAAAAACCAATAAAATTATTTACGTTCGGTTTCGAACGGGCAACAAACAAAACATTGCAGGGAAAATCTGCCACAATTTTGATGTGCTGAACACGATACACCATAACATTTACGTTTCGATGCATAACAATGCATTTAAACGTGATTCAGTGAACAGAGATTCATCAGTTTAAATACGATTTATGACAAACATATGGATTAATGAAATTTATAAATTGATAACGGAATAATTTGATAAATAACAGTTAATAAATGCGAATTAGTTAATTCGGTCAATCAATCGATCGATTTTGCCCGGCGCATCCACTGCAGAATTATCGCACGGAACAGCGGTTTAATGATTTTACTTTTCTAGACTATCAAAGACAACAAAATTTATATAATAGATAGGAAAACTGTAAAAAATGAAGATAAATTTACTTATTAACTGAAACAAATTGTTACAAAATAAAACAATTAACTTAAATCAACAACTTGCTGGAATTTTGTAACGTATATATTAATTATTAAAATTAATCACATTTACTCATGAAGTACACAAAAAAATGTTTTTTTTTTCAATTTTGCAATGAATCAAGTTATATTAATCAAAATATGAAATATTAATGTTAAACTAAAGTTTTTTTTTCATAATTTTTGTCCTAAACAAACTCTTTAATCTGAGTTTTTTTTATAGTCATGCAAGTAATCACAAATTTCTGATTCATTTGCAAACGTTTCAGTACAGAAAATTGATAAAGAAAACGTATCTTATCTTTAAATAAAAATAGTATTTAGCAAATAAATAATAATGTTTGTATGTATATTGAAGCATTTCGTTATACGTCGTTTTTAGTTTACGTACTTTTTTCGTAATATCGAAGACAAAATTGTTAAAATAGAGTTTGATTGGGTTTCGTTTTACGTCGTTTCGTTTCGTTAAACGTTATTGTAAAATAGGTGACTGAGTTTTGCGGAATACGTCATAATCTTTGTAAACAATCTCGACTGTTCTAGACTATTCGGTTCCGTTTTTGCACGATAAGTAATTAATTATCGCACGTTGAATCACTCGAGTATTTTTATTTTTTTTCCATTCCGAAAATGACCGAGCGAGCTGTAAACAATTTGGGATGCAAATTAAGCGAGACGAAATTATTTGCAAATGCAAATTGGATGCACGTTGCTGTTTTGTTTGATTAAACTGAAGAGTTGGGCGCGGTAAATGTTTGCTCGCAACAAGTGAATTAAGAAGACTTTAGAAATTACGTTTTTTTTTTCTTTGCCAATTTGATTGTGTACACGAACTGGGTTTACAGCAGTAATAATAAAGTAAAGTGTGAATAATCTTATCAATAGAAAATCATCTTATCAGCTGCGGCATTCGCTATTTACGTGACTGTGACAAGGATCATCAGTCGTCGGGAGAGAAACAAAGTCGAGAGAGAAGTGCAAGTTTTAAGTCGGTCGTTTCAATTTGCCAATTATTAGTTGGCTCCGCAGGAAGTTGAAGTGAGTTCAAGTGAATCGCCGCGATTGTGCGCTGGGAATTACCGGATTTTCACTTAGTTTCGTTGTCGGTTGTTTAGTTTGTCGTCTGAACCAGTTCAGTTGTAATAATTGAAAGTGGAGCAAGGTTGCGGATGAATAAAAAAAAACGTACTTAAAAACGTACTTCTTTCCTCTTATCGTGTGTGTTATCCGGTTGAAACGTTCTAATTCTCTTCATTCGTTCGTTTTCAGGTGCCAACTGAAATGGGTAACAAACCGTCGGTGTCCGAAGGAGAGGACGAAGGAGATGAACGCGTGTTGCGCGCAGCCCGTTCTTTAGGGAACGCGGAATTGGCGAACGGCGGCGCCGAAGATGTCGACGACGTCGAAGTCGAATTACCGCCACCGATGAAGCCCATCTCCGAACCGATCCTCTGTCCACCGACCGTCCCTGCCATCGAGGAGAACCCCTGCAAACGGGTAAGATCACCGTCTTCTTTCACAGTCTTTTCACCAGCAAATCATCAATTCTGTCTCTTACCATCTAGGTGTCTAGTTTAACACTGAAATCACTAGAAGGGGCTACGTCGGCAGATTTAGCAGAAATAGAGCAAATAGTTAAGGAGCGAATGGTGCGAAATATATTACAATTTATATAAACAATTTTTTCAGCCTTGTGTTCTTGTATTTTTTTCGGTTTTACAATTAGAATCGAGAGTACCGATTCTAAAGTTTGACCTTTTGTTGTTGTTGTTTTTTTTGCATGTCTCGTAACAATTTACCACCACGAGTTTTTTTTGTTGGTATTCCTTTATTTTTGTTGTTATAAAACAATATTTTCTTTTTAGATTTGCACCTGTAGATTTATATTACGTCCGTATATTTTAGTGCATGATCTGTTTAGTTGTTGTGAATCTTCAGAAGTTGTGAATTAATTTTGATTGTGTACATTTCCAGGAGCAACACACCGAGAATCAGGAGAGGAACTCGCTTTTCCGTGACGCGAAGAGCGAGTCTTCGGGTGATGCCGTCGATAACAAAGATTTGAGCACGGAATGCTCGTCGAATGAGGCGACGGCAGCGTTGAGCGGTGACGACGAGAAGAGCGCGGAGAATGTGAAGAAGCATTTGGAGAATCGGCAGTACGTGCTGCACGAACTCCTCGAGACCGAGGAGAATTACGTCACGGATTTGGCGCTCATCGTCGAGGGTTACATGGTGACTATGCGCGACGAGAACTGCAGCATTCCGATGCCCGAAGATCTCAAAACTGGTAAAGACAAAATGGTCTTTGGTAATATTGAATCCATCTACGATTGGCACAAAAAGTAAGTTCATTCGTTCGTCTTTGCGAATTATCAATGAAACAATACTAAATTGTTGTTGTTGTTGTAGTGTTTTTATGAAGGAATTGAAACGCTGCGCCCAGCAACCCGGCGAGCTGGGACAACTCTTCAAGAAGTACGAACGGAAATTGTACATTTACGTCGTGTACTGCAAGAACAAACCGATGTCCGAGTTCATCGTCTCCGAACATCTGGACACCTACTTCGAGGAGCTGCGATCGCTCCTCGGTCACAAGCTGCAGATCTGCGACCTCCTCATCAAGCCCATCCAGAGGATCACCAAGTATCAGCTGCTGCTGAAGGATCTGCTCAAGTACACGGAGCGAGCGGGAATCGAGAGCGACGCCGCGTTGTTGAGGGACGCCCTTCGTGTGATGACCGTCGTACCGAAAGCTGCCAACGATATGATGGATGTTGGCAGATTGCAAGGCTTCGATGTGAGTACTTTTAACATTAAGCTTCAATTAAGTTCCTAGTATTAGATATTTCATGAAAAGATTACGCGTTACTTGAGAAGTACGTAGCAGTAGTTTCCATGACTACCATAATCATTTACCATAAGCTTTCCATGTGACTTGGATTTATCTTCAAAACCGATCGTGTGTTGCTCACTTTAATACAGTGAGTGAGTGAGTGAGTAAGACTAGGGTGAGGGATTAAATTTAAAGCAAAGTCTCGAATGACACACGTATCGAGGCGGACGGGAAAATAAACGAGGCGAGATTAATCGAAGATAATCAATATCTGCTGTGGTGTAAATGCTCTCAGACAGACGGAAAGGCTCGTAAATTCGAACTTTAATAACTTTTCACTAATACACTACTTTATCGTCTATATACGAATATAATTCAATGAGATTTTTCATTTGCAATTAATTTTGGCTAAACTTTACATCAATTCAATTACATCAATTCCACAAATCAATACAGAAATTGCTTGTTTTTTTATTTGAAGAAACTGTACAAACACAATCTATGACCTACATATATAGATTATTAATATTATAATAAAAAGTTACGAATGGATTTTATGCATTTTACAAATTTGTGAAATTCATAACTTGATGTCTTCTTATCAGAAATGCAATTTCATAAACTTTTGGTATTTAGTTCTAATAACAAGGTTTACTTTCAAATCTACTTATTATACACATTCAGTCTTAATACTAATTAGCGAAAATTTTAAATTCCAATCCATTAATTTGTGAATTACAATTACATAAAAAAATGTTTGATTGTAATTATTTACAAGATTTATTTAAAGAAGTGAATTTTGAAATTCGTTAGTTATTTTTTTGTATAAAAATTGCAATTTCGAATATGTGTTAAGAATTTTGTTGCAATTTCACGCACAAATTCGAAAGATGAAAATTGTAGTTTATTGTTGTTTTTTTTTTTATAAATTTGAATGTTGGTAATATTTTTGTAGGGAAAGATAACTGCCCAAGGTAAATTGCTGTTGAACGGACCGTTGATAGTGTCGGATCTGCCCGCAAATACGACGACGATCGTCGGGAAGAACAAGGAACTGCACGTCTTCCTCTTCGAGCAGAGTATCATCTTTTCCGAGGCATCGGTCAAGAAGAATCAGTTCAGCAGCTCCAAATACTACTACAAAACTCACATCCAGGTAAGATCAGAGCATCAATGTAAAGTAAACAACAAACGAACATCGCATCGATTGTCAAATGTTTTATGTAGGTCAACAAGATGGCGTACGAGTTCAAGGAGGACTCGTTCTTCATCAGATCGACAGATCCGAACAAAGTGCAATTCGAACTGTGCTGCTTGGCACCGACGCCCGAACTCCACCTGGAATGGGAATCGACGATCGAGGCGATGATCCAAACGCAGACGGACTTCCTGAAAGCCATCCAGAGTCCGATCGCTTACCAGAAGGAACTAACGAGAGATGCGTGAGTATTTGCGCCGGGAAAGCAAAAGAAAACAAACATCAACAAGTTTGATTGTGTGTGTGGTGGAAATGGGGAAAAAAAAAACGATGGTTGTGTATTAATCCGCTTCTTGTGCGTGGTAATGGGACTAAAAAAAAAGAAGAAGCAAAGGCGAAGCGTGTTTTGGCCCTCCTCCTCGTTTACTTATACTTTCTAATCTAATCATCGCTAACTATAGTGGAGTAAATTGTTTAATTCGGAAGGAACACCGCAGGAGTAAGCACTGTTTCCAAACAAAAAAAAAGTAAATTAATCAAATGTTATTATTCACATGGGTATAGGAACTAAAACTAAAGGTACACACAAACAACACAACACTCTCTCTCTCTCTTGTACACATTCATACACGAGATGACACACATTTAAACAGAAAACGCTATTCGGCTCTCTTTTCGCGCTCCTCTTCTGTTTCAGTTTCTTTTAGGACCATGTGGAAAATAGTAGATATTGAAGTAATTGTAAAAAAAAAAAGAAAACACTAATAACATGGCAAATCAGACACATAATTTACTAGCGATTAGCGGCAAATTTTACAAAATATATCTACTATTTTTGTAATGCAAAAAAAATATATAATAAAATATAGAAATCTATATATATATATATATTAATAATAAATACCAGATGAATAATTAAGAAAAAAAATTAAATATACATGTACTTGCTCAATATGAAAAGTGTGATTTTATATTTTAAACAGAAATCTCAAATTGCAAACAGAATTGTGTAAAATAAAATATGACTTGGAGCAAAAGCATCTCTTAACAAATTTGACAATGTCACTCGCTCGTGCGCTCTATCTATCTCTTTCTCTCGTACTCTAAATACCTTTAATCTAATCTATCTAATTCTCTTGCAAAAGTATACAAGGACACAACACACATAAATAAATAAACAAATCGAGCTGCTAAAACCATATTATTGTAACGATGTAATTGTAATTATACTGAAAACGCGAAGAAGAAGGAAACAAGTAATAAAGATACTCACAGACACGTAAAGTACTATTACTACTACTACTCACATACACAAAATAAAAGTTAAAACACCAAAAATTGGCTGCAAACATTTGATATAAATTATATATATACGATAGATTTATTTATCATTTTTATTCTGATGACGCATCATCAACACGCGCAACGTTGAGAATGATGAAGAAGTAAAAAGAAAAAAAAACAAGAAAAATTTCCGTTAATGATGAAATTAACAAATTGTTTTTTGTGTGCGTTACTTGTTTACTTTTTTTCTTGTTTTTCTTTTTTGTGATGATTGTGCGATGGAAATAAGAATATAATAGTAACACGATATCCATCCCCCCCCTTGCAACAAGAAGATGATGATGATGATAATGACATAACTTTATTTTTTTTATTATATAAACTTTTTGGAAGTGTACATAGGATGATGATGATGTATGATTGTAAATAAATTAATGATAATACATTTTTTTCTTTGATGATGATTTCGTGATTGATGCAACAGCAGCTGTACTATTATTAATATTATACATTCATTTGTTTGAGAGACGTTTTGAAAAACAAATCAAAGCAAGCGACGCAACAAGAGAAAAGGTAAAATGATTCTTCCTTTTTTTTTTTGGAAAAATAGAAATAAAGACGATTCTACGAAATGTATACATGTGAGATTTGTTTTATTTCTTTGCAAACTATCCGTTTCTTATATTATTATTTTTATTATTATTATTATTAAATTCGCGTTTATTTTAATTATAATTTTTTTGGTTAATTTGTTAAATGTACTTTTACTAGTTTCCTTACGATTGAATCGCATGCTGATTTGTTTATTTCCATCGAATATTATAAAATAGTTAGTTGGTTTGTGTGTACTTTATATTTCGTTTAGTCTTTGCACAACTCACGTAATTCTTCCACACTTTCAATACCCCCCCCCACACTTTACGAATAAGCGCATGAATTTACAATAAAGAAATGAAAGAATACAGAAATATACGGATTTTTGCACTATTTTGTAGATTAGATGCAATATTTTAAGATATATGAATTTGGATAATTTTTCAAATATCTGTTGTACGAATGTTTCAATTAATTGTGATTGAATGATGAAACTTACTTTACGATTCGACCAATCACAGAACAGAGATCAAGCAGTAATTAAGATATTAAACGAATCATAGATAAGATGTGTGTGTGTCAAGTGATCAATTTGTAACGTAAGTTCTGCTTCTGTGATTGATCCATTATTGTAGTATATAGTCTGAATTATCTGAATTATTATAAACTACACTTATTATACAGTAAGACCCCGTTTAACGCTGTTTCAATATTCTCTCAACTTTATTTCTTACCTCGTTTAACGCTGGAACGTTAAGCGTAGTCTTACTGTATATATATATATATCTAAAAAGTAGCGTTGATTTATCGTGAATGCGTTTATATAATTTGTCGTTTATTTTCTTATTATTAGTTTGTCGTATTATTTTTTTATTTGATTTATTTATTTCTTTTATTTTTCTTCCCTTTTTTTTGTTTCTCTCGATCTCCTCCTCCTCTCACCTCCCGAATCTCTTTCTTTTCTTCTTTTTCTACTTCTTCATCTTCTACCACTCTTTTGGACCGAATTTAGTTTCCCTTTCGAAATACCCCAAGTAAACAGACAGACTGTAAATATTCCGGTGACGACCGTCCAGCAGCAGCAGCAGCAGCCGGTGGACGTCTCGAAGAATCGTAAAACTGTGCCGGCGATCCACAAGGCCAACACCATCGGCATTCCATCCGAGGCGGAGATCACCAACTCCAAGGATAAACACCAGAAAAAGTACTTTTTCGATGGGCTGAGGAGGAACAAGCACAAGAGCGACAGTCAGGTCGCTGAAGGAAACAAGAGCCAAACGGAGGGAGGAAGCCCGAGACGATGGTCAGAAGCACAGAACTCCACGGTATGTACAAACAAACGAAGAAATTTAATTAACAATTATCAACGCATGCAAAGAGATTCAAACGAAAAACTGCATGCATTACAATATTTTTGTTTTTTGTTTATTATTTTTAATTTTATTTATTTCTTCCTTAGGGTACTTGAGACTGCAAGCTTCAATACCAAAAAAAAAAATATATATAAGATACACGTAGAAAATACTAACTCGTTTCATAAGCAAAACAAAATGAAATACCTTGGGCTGTGATAAAAAAAAAACAAATTGAAAATATATATATTTAGTTAATAACAATTAGTTTACTTTATTGAGAATGATGGAATTACCATTGTCGTTTCTTTTTTTGTTGTTATTGGGATTGATCTACAATATTGGTGTATTTAAATATAAAAAAAAATACTATGGTGAGCATGATTTTTGTTGCTTCGTATTATCAATTAACAATTAAGGCTTATTAACAAGATTTTCCGTATTAATTTTTGTAATTGTTTTAATAATTAACACATTTGGGATTAACCAATTACGCTTATTTATTGTTAATTTACTTTGCAGAGTGTCTGAAAGAATGTATATGCAATGAAATGATTCATGTTATAGAATTTAAACTGAATCATTGAAGTGTGTTTATATATATGAAGATGCTGTGCATTGTGTTAATTTAATTGATGGTGTTAATTGAATTGGTTTTCTTTTAGTTTGATAATCATGTGATGGCGCCTGGAACTCAGGCGAGATTGGTGTGCGAATGGCCGGAATGCAATCTGGGAGAGGCTGTGACGATCATCAGGTACGATTCGAATCAGGGTTACCTGGTGAGAACGAATACGCACCTGGAGGAGATCTGGCTGCCGTCGCACGTTCTCTCGAACGGTAACCGCAAAGCATGGTCCTTCAGATTCAGAAAACCCAGCTTCACGCCCGGCCGCAGATCTATAGACGGCACGAACATCCAGGAGAACATCATACCTGAAGTGTCGTGTCCGGAGTTCCGGGACAAAGTCAAAGACTGCACCGCTCAGAGCGGCACCAAGGTGGTGTTCAAGTGCAGGGTGAAACCCTGCGGACGGAACGTGCAGATCACTTGGAAGAAAACCGAACCGGATCCTTGCGTCATGCGAAACAGCGGAAGATTCGCCCTCAGTCAGAGCGAAGACGGTGTGGCGATGCTCATCATAAGCAACGCGAGGAGCTCGGATTCCGGAACTTACCTGTGCATAGCGTCCAACGATATTGGCTCGGCGCAATGTTACGCCGTGCTGAACGTATCCGATTCGTTACCTTTACTCCGCGAACCTCTCATACAGGTGATCTCGTGTTCGAGCGTCCTTTTGGAATGGGACAACGATTCCAATTCCAATCAGCAATTCCTCGTCGAGTATTGCAAGCTCGGCACCGGGGAATGGATGTCGCCGAACGGCAGGCAACCTCTGAACTCGCTGAGCTACACCGTCGAGCATTTGATACCTGGGGAAACGTACAGTTTTCGCGTTATAACCGTGCAGAACAAGCAGATTTCCTTGCCGAGCGTCGCCGTAACTTTGCCGGTCGCTGATAACTTGCGGTGGCAGCAGGAGCAGTTCAAACGAAGATATATCGAGCTGGAGGAGATCGATCGAGGACGGTTCTCGGTGGTGAGGAGAGCTCAAGATCGAGGGACAGGTCTGGAGGTCGCTTTGAAGCAAGTCTTCAGGAGGAAACAACCGCATAAAGTTACGCAAGCTGAGTACGCTCTTTTGGCTGGAATGCAACACCTCCACATCATCCACGCCATGGCTCTATTCGATAACGCTCCCGTTCCTGGCATCGACACCATAGTTCTTGAGCTGTAAGTCTAATAACACCAAGATGCAATTTAACAGAAACATTAATAATTGTCTTGCTCTTTTTTTGGCAGTGTGAAAGGTCCTCTTCTTTTCAACTTCATCGCGCAGAACGATGAATACACCGAGTCCGAAGTCAACCAATACGCGAAACAATTGATTTCCGCATTGGCTTGGCTGCACGACAAAAACTTGGCTCATTTAGATGTTAAGGTATTTAATGTATTTATTTACTTATTTTTACCTGATGAATCCTTTCGCAACGGCACGTGTCTTCGATTTATCAAATTAATACGTTTCTCATTTATTACCTGAAAACGTGACGTATTTCACTGTAATCATTCAAACTCGTAAATAGATACATTTAACAGTAAAATGTCATCTGCAGATGACAGCCGAAAGACACGTGCTAAAACAGCTCATCTCCAAGTTATAACATTTGTTTTTTACATGTGTTTGCAGCCGGAAAACGTGATGATAGACCCGAACCACGTGACACCGTTGGTGAAGTTAATAGACTTCGGTGATTGCGTGAACACCTCGAAGAGCGTCATCCTTCCACCGGCGTGCCTCGAGTTCGCCTCTCCGGAGTTGGTGCTGGGTCAACCGGTTGGAAGACACACCGATTATTGGGCAGTCGGCGTCTTCCTCTACGTCCTCCTCAGCGGCGTCTCACCATTCCTCGACGACTCGATGGAGGAGACGACCGCGAACATCCTCAAATGCGATTACTGCTTCCCCGATGAATACTTTTCCGCTGTTTCCTGCGAGGCCAAAGAACTGATCGGCAAACTGCTCAGCCTCAATCCGACGCAGCGCATCTCCATGGAGCAAGCGCTGGAAAGCGCTTGGATCCAAAACGTAATTTAAATTCTATTATAATCGTTTAAATTCCTCTAAAATTTTACTTTTACAGATCAACAACGGCAATAACGTGATACCATCGTCGCGTCTCAAAACGTTCATCGTGCGTCGGAACCCTCTGCATCATCCAGCGACGCCCACGACGCCGACGAACACGACGTTCTTCACCGACTAAGAAAACGAGATTTTTTTTTCTTCAATTAACCTTGTTTGCATCTGCTCTACATCGAACGGAAATCTAGTCAATAGACGAAAACAGCAATCATCGAAACATGGATGTAACCTACTATTATTACTACTACTGATATTCTGATTACTATACATTTTCATTATCGTAATTCAATTTGTACTCTGTAAATATTCGCTTAAACTGATTTATATATAGTCTACATAGTTTTTATATATATATTGTGAGCACGCACATTTCTAAGGAACATAATTTGTTTAGTATTAACGTTTATTAACTGTGAAAAGTTAGATATTTTATATGTTATTATTACTATTATAAGAAATCTACAACCACACACCCCCCCGAACCCCCCAACCAATGTGATTTGAAACGCTAACGCAGAAGAAAACCTACGTATGTTAATCTTTGTATTTATTATTATTAATAATTTTTAAATATTGTTGCATATGAATATTCCTTTTATATTTTATAGTAATATCTACTTTGACTTATAATATTTAGACATATAATTATTATTGTGTGAAAATACGAGTTATGCAAGTTGGAATTATATTAATAACAATATATAAAAAAAATATATATAACGATTTTTCTATGATTTACTTTCCTTTCAATTAATAGATCTTAGATAGCTATGACTTTTTTGAAAAAAAAAATAGATCTTAGATAGCTTTGAGTTTTTTGAAGTTTCTCAAAGTTACGTCAAAGTGAATCGAATCTTTTTCAAATCAACAAAGGTAAAAGTTATATTAATTAATATTACATATTTGTTTGTACAATATTGAATTGGAATTATATTAACAACAATATTTTAAAAAATCAAAACAAAAATAACGATTTGCTTTCAATTAGTTTGAAATAGATCTTAGACAGCTTTGAGTTTTTTTGAAGTTTCTCAAAGTTACGTCAAAGTGTAAAGTGAATCGAATCGTCGTCCTCAAATGATCAAAGGTAAACGTTATATTAAGTAAATATTAAACAACTTTAATATAATAATGATTTAATAGAAAGATTTCCTCTCAACTCGTCAAACGTTCGGATTTGTGTATGAAATTTAATGTAAGTTATTTTAAAATTTATTATTTTAGCAGAGCGTTGACATTTTGTTAGCATCATTTGTTTTTTTGTTAGTTATACTACTGAATATACATTCAAATATTGTTGAGCAAAACGTGTTACTTAATTTTATTAATGGACATTTAGGTTTTTCTATAAATAACAATAATATATAAATTTGTTTGCACTATACAAGAAACGTCATAACTGTTAATAAAACGAAGACCAGCCTACTGATAGATATGTTAATTTGCAAATGCACCAATTACAAATTACGTTGATTGCTTTTGTTAATTATCAATCAAGTGGAACCTCGCTTAACGAGTTTAATCCGTTCCAAGAATTCCGGATTTTTACTTAAAAAATCATAATTATTGTTTTAATTTGGTAAATTGTTATTACTATAATGAGATAGTAAATGATTAATGTAATACGAGAAGAAAAAAGGGCGTATCGCTATGGGATCGCCAACGCTAATTTCAATATGGAATGCTTTTGTTTCTCCTATTCTCTCTAATTATGTAACTCTATATCTCTCTATCTCTCTCTCTTTCTGTGTGTAGTCAAGGGCTCGGAAACCTCGGTACAGGACTGTAACGGTTTGCGGTGTTGCGCCCAGAACGCTCCCAAACGCTATCCTTGAATATTGATTCCCCTTTTGCACGGGCACTTCTTACATCATCGCCGCGTTACGTTGGCTGCCTACTACAATCCGGTGCGCGCGCTTTACCACTTTACCATTTTGCATTTAAATCGACGGTTGCGTTTGCATTGCAACCGGTTTCGCCTGCACATGCCTTCACCGAATTTATGTAACTGCACGCAGAAACAATAAGTCCGCGAAGGATACGCTCGTATATGCAAATGTTTACAATTACGTGTTCTCACGAAAATCTGTTTTCTTCACGGTTCATTTCCCAAGGACTACTCCATTATGTCAACATGAAACACACAAACACACACTGATCTTTTTTTTATTTATTGCTTCTGTTGGAAATGCATGAAAATCCATAGAATCCACATTGCTTAATTTTATATAAATGTATAAGTATTTTCATGATTTTATTATATAATTTCTCGATTTCTCGAACATGTACATGTGCAATTATATAATCAAAGTAATAACAAAAAAAATACATCAAATATCTAATTATATAGAGATGTTAAATCAATTAAGCAATTATTAACGTACGTTGTGTAATAGGGAATTATATATTAATTTTGAATAGCGTTACATTCATAACACATTTCCCGTAACAACTTATTTCCGTGCTTCTTGGTAATTGGTTATTTTCTTCGATGTGCTATATTGCACATGTGTTACTAAGCTCATTTCGTCTCACTTCCGTTAATTACGTAATAATCTTTAAAAAAAAGAAGCAATTAATTAACTGGTAATATTTCGTAAGATGCTTTAAAATTTAATGAAAGTATTATGAAAAATGTTTCAAGAAAATCCTTTTGTTAATTGTTTGTTGAGATATACGACTGAAACAATAGTCAGAATGTTTTCTGTGAAGTAAGGATGATGATGTGTTTTGGAGGCATCTGGGAATGTTTGCTAGCGCAAACACAATTAAAATGTATAATTATAATTGAGAGAGAGAAGAGAGAATGCGACCAAGCAGTGTAAATGGGTTAAGATTATTCGTAGTAAAAGTTTAATTAACAGGGTCTGTCGCTGAATTGAGGTCAGGCTAGTTGAATTTGATTGCATTATCCGAAAAGACCCTGAAAAGCCTTTTTCAAACGAAGCAACACTATTTGCCTCGAAGCGTGTGACATTTATCGAGGAGCATCGTGGAACGAAGTCGGATTGAGACAATGGATGGATGCATTAGAAAGTCGAAAATCCTTTGAGCAGAGAGAGAGAGAAGTGGTAATTAAAGCAAAGTGCGAGCGCGGATATGAAAAATATTATGATGATGATGACTATGATGGAATGGAGCCAAGGCCTTGAGGGCGCATAAATACCTCTCTTCTCTTGGCTACAACAACCATCAGCGCATGCTAACGATTGCCAATCGGGGACAACCCAAAACCTACGACCAGTAGAAGACGCGACCGGACTAAGCGGTTTTTACTGCTATTCGACCCCAAAAAACTAGGCGTTAGGAATACTGGAATATCCGACACTTTGGCTTGTGCAATGCAAACGCACGTTAATTAATTTGTTTATTTAAATTTTGCTCTCGAAGGACGATGATGATGATGATGAGGAGGAAGAAAAGTAGGAGGAGAAGCAGAGAAGAGATGAACTCGGCCTCAGATCGATAGAGGAAGAACGGTGGCGCGCGCGCCTGGCCCCCTTTTCAGCGCACTGGCAGGCCCGAGGCTCTCCTCATCATCGAGTGAAAGTAAACCTACGTACATACATTTATTATTCATTCATTACCTCCTCGAACCCTTTATTGTTACGAACGCATTACTACAGTCTTATGCACAACACAAAAGGAGTAATTTTATCAAATTCCTGAAGCTATTCCTGCAAACACAAACACTTGGAAAGAAGCTTTGAAAATTATATTTCAAAATACAACTAACCGTAACAAATATAAATTTGAATATGAAATAAAAATTGTTGGGTGTTTGATCCATTTAAATATAATATTTCATCGTAAAAATTACAGCAAATTTCAAAAATTCTAAATTTACCGTTAATTTGAAACATTCGAAAATCCTATGAATATTTTGTGAGTTAATTATAATTGCGGTTTTCTTCTAAATACATTTTTCATTTATTAATATTTCAAACCTATTTATTTCACATTTTTTCCAAACACTTTCGACAAAACAGGCTTATAAAGAAACAATTTAATTAAAATAACAATTTGATGTAATCATATAATTTCCAAGTTAAAGTTCTTTCAAATTTGATATGTATGCAAATTGTTTGAACGAAAATTAAATTCGACTTGAGTGTATATTTTTCGCTCCGTTTAATTAATCTACCGTCGCGAGCGTCAGATTCCCTTTGTTTCATTAATCTTCCTTCCGCGTCGCCTTTTTGAAGAGTCAATTAAAATTCAATTAATCACGCGTCCGCCACCGACTTCACATATACAAAGTCCGAAATTTCAATTATCATTATTCTTATAGTAATTTTCAAATCATCGAAATGGGAATAATTACTGAAATCATAAAAAGATTTACGATTTCGTAAACTGAATACACACTTATGTTTCGTTTTATGTTGGATTGTTGGAAAGTTATGAAATATTGATTTCAGTTTTAACGATGCGATAAAATTGAAACGATCGAATGTACAATATGAAACATTCTAATTTTAAATCAAGTGAATGTAAAAATGAATTGAAATCAATACTCGTGTCCTTTTTCTTACCGTTGATTTTTGCTTTTTTATTTTTGGAAAGTTATGGATCTAGCTGAATGAATGCCAAGGACAGTACGTAGTAGTCAATAAGTGAATTATATGATTTTTGCATTATAGTTGTATGAACTAATTGAATTTAATAATAAATTAAATTATAAATTTTCAAAAATAAATCAATAGTGAATTATTTTGAAAACTAAATTATTAGGGTAGTTAAAAATAGGAAGTTTGGGGAGTGGTCAGTGTGCGTGCGGGAGGGAGGAAGGAAGGAAGGAAATCAAGGTCAAGAAAATCGCGCCGAGTCCTGCCCTGCGTTTAATCCTAAGTGAAGGAGACCTCTGCTGGGTCGGATCAATAGAGCCCGAAAATAGGCCGGGCTAAGCGCCTGTTGCTAGGCAACTCACTTCACCGACGTGACATACTGACACCCTGAATTATATACACACCTCCTTCCTTCTCCTCTCCTCTCCTCTCCTCTCCTGCTGAATATTTGAGATGCCATTTGCTCAGGAGGACTACTTCTCATCATCACCATCAGCATCATCCTCTTGTCCTTTCCATCCTCTAATACCGTACCTAATTCCCAGCCTGAAACTCTCCCCATTACTATTCACAAACGGATTATACGGATCCCCATTTCATTGTATTATGCAATAATAATTCTTTTCAATTTGCACGAAACCGGCTCTCGTCCAACTTTCCTTCTTCCTCTGTCCTCTTCTGCATCTCTTTCTCATTTACAATAGCCGCAAAACGATCGAAACTACTACATACCAACATAAACAAAAAAAATAGAGACGATGATGATGGTTGAAAGTGTAAGCACTCAACGGAATCAGAAAATTAATTGCTGATGAATAGGTCCATGCCTTTCCATTAACCTTTCCTCTCCTTTCTCCACTTTTTATACCTCTCCTGCTGCAATTCAAATGCATATATACAATTTTCGTTCATAATTTTTCTGTAATCGTGATTTATTATTGTTTCGATTTTGTATTCAATTCAACTCTCATTTTTCAGAAGG